ACCTTTTGACCATAACTTCTCAGCCTCCGCTGCTGCATATCTTCTTCAGTCTTTCTCTCTACTCTTTCTTTTTCTCATAGTTCTCCGTTCAACAAGCTACCCTTCTCCTTCTTCTTCCTCTCATGCCCATGTCTTCCCCTTGACAAGATCTCTTGTTCTGAAGCAATCCCATATATTCATGTATGCCATTCAGGAATCTGAGAAATCAGCCACCTATCTTCTCTACTCCTTTAACTCTCAACACTGAAGTGTTTCCATGTCCTATTGTTTCCACTTTTGAGTATCTCTCTTTGTTGCAGGTTTGGTTAGTGATCACCAATCTCACCTATACTATGGCAACACCATTTTGATGAGCCTTTAACTACATCTGGTTATCAGAGTGATGTTTCTGAAAAGACATCTGATCCTACTACTCCCCTGTTTAAAACTCTTCATTGGCTCCCTATTAAAAACAGAATAAAATATAATATTCTAAGAATGATCTACAAGTACACCTAGACTGGGCCACCAGTTTTATCTCAAGCTTCTTATTTCCCATCATTTAGCACTCAATAAGCATTTGTTGGGTGAATAAATGAATGAATGACACTAACTTGCTTAAACTGATGTATTTAAAAGAATTAGAGGTTCATGTAATCTCAAATAATATCTTCATTTTATTTTCAGTTGCTATCCCAAGGTAGCTAGTAATACTCCAAATATTTATAAAGCGTCAGCATTGACTAGTTAAAAAGGGCATGGGCTGTGTGTCACTGTACATGTATACTATTAACTCCAACTGGACTTTCCTTTAGGAGATTTTATTAGCTAAAAGCCCCCTAAGTTGAGTGCCCTCTCATTTATACCAGGTAGAAGTGCTTCTGCACAGAGTTCTCTGACTTTGGACATCAACCTAGAAACCTCCTCCAGCTCCAGTTGGCTTCCTCTCTGAAGCAGCTGAAAGACCACGAGGATGAAGTAAGATTCATAGTTGGGATCTGGGGCATTAAGAAGAGAACAGCCCCTGTGTTCCTGGTGGATGTGCACAGAGAGGTACACCACTCGCCACATTTGCCCTACTCTCCCTATAAAAGTTCTGTGGAAAGACCTTTGAGGGTACACATGGAACGCTCCTCTTTTTGAGCCATTAGCTTCCTATTAATTTTTCAATCTCAAGCCCTATTCTACTAGTCTCTTTTTCTCACCTTTTTCTGTTACTTGTGAGTGTTTCTGCCTCTTCCACAAATGGTCCCCATTTCCTCAATTAAATAAAATTATAAGCTGTCGTACATGTTTAGCATATTCATTCAATAAATTTTAGCACCTAAGCATCAAGCAAATATTGCTTTTTTGGAGTCCCTTTCTCACAAAGACAGTTAATCTATAACAAAACAGTTGCTTTTTTATTTGGATGAAAAGCCTTGAATACATCTTTTGTTCTTGTTGTTGTTCTAATGGGGCATTCATTTATTGAATCTAGAAAAGAAAGAAACAAAGAAAGAAAGAAAGAAAGAAAGAAAGAAAGAAAGAAAGAAAGAAAGAAAGCCCTACCATGGTCTAAGGGCTACAACAAATAAAAAAGGCAATAGAAAGCAGACACTAATATTAAGAGAGATGAGGAGAAAGAGGAGGAGACGTCACAGATGAAAAGTTAAAAAGGAAGAGAAGAGAAAAAGAAAAGAAGAAATTGGACAAATAAATCAGTAGCCTGTAATGACTGTACAATCTTTCTGGTCATGGTCCTTTCCTTCTCAACATAGGTGGAATTTCTCTGCAGCCAAAGGAAGACTAGTCAGAAGGGAAGAAATCAAATCCGGATTTATTCATGAAACCATTTGTTTGAGGATCCACTATGCACTAGGTATTGTTCTAGGCAGTTGGGAATCTTACAAGAATACTTTATGGGGCTGATCTTCTGTGCTTCTTTTTATGTTAAGAGCAAGTTCTTTTTAGCGGAACATTCTTTTATTTGGTCAGCCTCTCTTTTTGTAAGTTGCTTTGTGTGCCAGCCAAAACCAAAGGTAAAAAAAAAAAATAGATAAAAAGCAAAAGAATAAAATCCCTATAATGATTTGTATTAAACATACTGTGGAGAGAAGGTTCATGTCTTTTCTTCTTGTATTTGCATCTGTTCCCCTATCTCCAAAAGGAATTAGCAGAATAAACTCCTACTGTACTTGGTGGAAGTAATGCACAGCGGCAACTTCACTTGTGCGGCTGGATATTAATGCTAATGTACGGGAGTTAAATATAGCACAAAGCAAATGTGTCAGAAGGAAAACAACAAAGCAACTAACTTCACACTGCCAGGGGTGAGGTGGCAGAGATGAGGAGATGATTATACCCTTAAACATCAGGATAAGCTGCAAAAGTGGTAAACTGATAAGAGGAGAATGCGGTGAGTATGAAATTGAGTCACACCAACCTACTATCCTCAGTGGCAAAGAAAACCCAAGAATGTTGTCTAGATAGGTATGGATGAACGGGTCCGGAAAGAGATAGAAACCAGTGGTGATGCTGACTAATGAGCAGGCTCCATAGGAAAGATGGTGTTCTTTAAGATTTCTGGGTTTTTTTCACTGCTAACAGGAGACAGTACTGAGACCCTATACCATTATACAATCAGTAGTAGTAAGTGCTTGTCCTACAAATCTACATAGTTGCCATTGCCTAATTGTTAGATACAACCTTGAAAAAAACTCTAGAACTGTTTTATGGGCAATGGCTTAAATGGAGGAACTTTGTTCTGAGAAATTGATCCACCATTGTGAGATTTGTGCCTATAACCATGGTAAATTTTGGCTCCAACGCGTACCCCCATCTTTTTCCCAGGAGGCTGTGCAATGTCTGAGTGAAAGCATTGGATGGGGAGTTGGGACAACTGTACTTGAGAAGTGATTCTTTCACTACACATCCATGTCACCTTGAAAAGTTAACTTTTTAGCATGTTATTTATTTTTTCATTTCTAAAACAAGACAGTTAAACCAGATGACCTCAGTTGTTCTTTCTGGTTCTGACATTCTGGATTCTCAGCAGGCTAAATTAAAACGCTCCATTCATGACCTAATGTAGAGATTGTGTTAAATGTCCTAGCCACAGAGGATGACTGCATGGCCATCGGTGCATGGAGCCTGCTGGGGAGGAGCCTAAACTTTCTCCAGGCACTGAATAGCGCCTTAGAGGCAAAGGTGGTTCTCCTTAAACCAGGACAGCCATGTGTATACCTGAGCACAGCTGGTCCTGAGTGGCTCCTCCTCTTTAGTCAATTTATATGTCCCCAGGGCTAGGAATAGTCAGTGCCACTTACTAAGTGCTCAGGAAATCTTTGGTGAACGAGTAAAATAATTATCTCCTGGGAAACTGATACCAAAATGGGACTTAAAAGGCTGAAAAGGATAAGGGGCAGGCATTTCAGGGCACACAGTACTGAGTGTAATCCTGGATAAAAGCAAGAACTCTGTGTCCAGATATCAACTCTGTCACTTATTATCTAGCTGACCCAAGCAAATTACTTAATCTCTCCAAGTCTAATGCTCTCCCAGAGAATGTGGGATTAAAATGGTATCTCCCTCATATGGACACTGCAAAGGCTAAACAAGTACTGATTTATGATTCTGGTAACTAGCAAATAGTGAGTAGTCATTAATTATTAACTCTGCTTAAGTCAGGTTTGAGCTCTGAGGACAAAACTTCTTCCAGAGTTACTGTGATGCAGGTGTATTCCATGAAAGAGCTAGCTAACTCGTTATTCAATAACAGTGAGATAGAGGTTTCTTTAGTATGTTCTCTACTGAGCTGGATTGTGTTGTGTGGTAAGGGGAGCTGGGAGGGTGCATTTAAAAGAGAGGGTAAGGGCAAAGAAGAAATAATCAGGTTGTCAGCTAGTGTCTAGAGAAAAGTGAATTCAACAGAGAGAATACAGAGGATATAGACTGGACGCAATGATAGCACATGGGCTCTGGCTTGAGGCATTAGTTCAGAATTATCTATGGGGAGAGTGAGCTTGAACCACACAGTCTCATTCACTAGGGCAAAGGGCACTGGCCAGGTGGGCCCAAGCATCTGGCTGAGGTGAAGGCCAAGTGCTTAGAGGATGTTGTCCAAGCTCATGTTCAGTCCCAGAAAAGCTGGGGGCCAGTCACGGAGAATGCTGGAGAGTTTTCTGACATGGCTGCTTTCGGGTTTGAAGATAGCCTTAGGTTTAGGGCAGGGCCAGAGCAGACTGTGACTGAGGGGATAGGAAGCAAAGGATCCGGCAGAGTTGGGTATGGTGCTAGACCATGAACAATGAGGCTGGGTTGTAGAGGTGGCCCCAAGACCTAGAAGAAAGCTAGGTAACAGGTTGGGAAAAAGGCAGGAGGCACATCTTGCCTCAAGGCAGACATCGAGCTCAATGAGCGGGAGAGAGAACAGAAGGTTCAGGAGAGAACACTTTAATTTTGAGACGATAGGGCCACCCAAGTTTTACTCTGCTCGCAGGTTAAATGTCTGCTAGGCATCAAAAGCTAATTCTATATTGGACCTTGTGAGATTGACAATATACGTATGCATTCTGCTTTGATACCATTGGCTCAGAAAGTTAAGCTGGCTTTAGAGACAGATGATTAAGAAACTTGGCAGGGGCTGGCAGCAGAGCTACAGAGAAGGAATAAAAGCAAAGAGAGGAATAAAGAGAAGAAAATGAAGCTAAAAACACTGACCACAGAAAAGAAAGCTAAACTTTAAAAAAATGATGAAAAGTCTTATTTCTTAGATCCAAGAGGGTTTATCTGAGGCCAAAAAGGCTGATCCAGTGACTGTGAAGAATTTTCATCTTTTTCCAAAGGGGCCAGACCCTGGGCCTGCAACGAAAAACAAACAAGCTGCTTCCTTCCCCCACCTACTTCTCTTGATGACCTAAGAAGTTAGAAAGAGTACACATATTTAAACAGAATGGAAGAAAGCTAATGTTCTCCAAACAGTCCAGGGGTCAGGGCTGAAGGGAGACCTGGAAAAGGAAAGTGACATTAAGAATTGCCTGAAGCAACCTGCTGGAGGCCAGAAAGCAGCAGTGACCATTAGGGTAAGAGAAGACAGGGCTTTGTCTGTGTAAATGGCCCGTCAGCACAGTTTATCTGGGCTACAGGAGAAAGATCTGCTGAGCAATTGCCAGGGATTCTAAACTAGCAATGATGTGGTGGTACAGCTGGGGTGAGTACAGCTGGGGTGAGCCCCCCCCCCCCCAGGAAATATAAAGTAGGGAAAAACCTTAAGTCTGGGGTACAGGTTTTATAATAGAAACCCCACAAAATGTCAAGGGAAGGGAAACTGGCTATGGGACTCCAGCTAGGACAGTCCCCGGAGATTTTAACACCAACTGTCTTAGCCCATTCAGACTGCTAGTACCAGGCTGGGTGGCTAAAGCAAGAAACACTGATGTCTCACAGTTCTGGAGGTGGGGAAGTCCAAGATCAAGGTTCCAGCAGATCCCATCTCTGATGAGGACTCTCTTCCTGCTTCATAGAGGGCAGTCTTCTCACTGTTTCCTCACATGGCAGAAGGGGTGAGAGAGCTCTCTGGGGACTCTTTTATAAGGGCACTAATTCCATTCATAGGCATTCCACACTGTGACCTAATCACCTCTCAAAGGCCCTACCTCCTAATATCATCACATTGGGGGGTTAGGATTTCAATATATGAATTGGTAGGGGGAGGGGCACAAACATTCACTACATACACCAAATCTGGCCGTTTCATTGGTATAACTCCTTGATCAGAACTTTACTAGTCCCCACTTTGAAATTCTACAGACATCTAGGTTATCAGTTAGAATTTCTTATATGCCCAGGTATTCTTTGTGCCACGTATGTTGCCTTCCTGCATGACTTCAGGTACCCTTAGGTGCCACCCAACTGGTTTGATTTCCAAGATGCCAATCATTTATATAAGTCAATCCATGTCACTACCAAAATGCAGTTATTTTTCTTCTGATGCCACATTGGAACTATCTGCCATGAGCTCAATTTTTCCAAAAATTGTCCTGGTACGACTTAAGGCCTGAGATCTAGGAACAGAGGAGAGACGAGACATGACCATGAACTTGCATTTGAGTGATTGGTGGAAAATCTTTGAAATGATCTGGATCGGTAGTGATAATGGTAGAGTACTTTTATGAGTTCAGACAAGAGATTAAAATTATAAGACAAAGTATCAGTAATCATCCTAAGATTTGTAAACCTGACTCCAATAAAGAATAGCCTAACAATAGTTTGAGGCCTTGTGTACTCATCATGTTGCAGGAAATGCTGACACGCAATGTTCCTTTCAGGTTGGTCTTTTCTCTTGCACAAAAGTCACAGTAGTGACACAGGCATTCTTTAATTAAATGTTGGATATAACAATGCAGGTAAATTGTCTTCAAGATATAAAGCAAGATGATTTAAGATCTGAGAACCATTTTTGTTTTCAATTATAGTCACTTATTTTATACAAGTTTATAAACTTTTCTTCATTTACTCACCAAAAATGTAAACAGTTAACTACCATAGGAGTAATATAATTAAAATAAATAAAAATATTGGATCACTTAAAGTATACTTCAATATATTATTTTATTAATGTTTATATCATGAAATTCTTTTTTTTAGCAAGGAATACTCAGGGAGTTACGATTTGACAAAGCAAAGGATTGGTGTGATTTGAAGGGACAGTGGAGAATAGAGAACATTTGTTTGACTTAAATTGGGCAACTTGATTTAAGAAGCACCAGAACAATACACAAAACTACATATGCCATCCAACCCTGTCAAGAAATACCATTCCAATGCCGCAGAGCTGTGCCAGTTCAGCTCAGAGTGCCATCTTCAGACAGCCTCGTATGGCAGTGAAGATTCCGTGAAGACTCAAACCATTTCCAATTTTCCTTAATCCCTGGGAGGTGGATTCAGGAGGCCAGCCTGCCTTTTCCACATTGCTGGGCAAACATAGCAGCAAGCGCCAATCTCCGTGATTGCTTCTACACTTTGTAATGCTCAGCAGCCATACGGAGCAAGTCATCTTCTAATATATGCTGATTTTTATTGAGCACTACAAATTTTCCAATTCCAAATCTTTGTAAAACAAAATAAGACAATGAATAATGAAGATCAACTTCAGAATAGGCAAAGCTAATTCTATTTGGAGACTTCAGCATGTGTTTTTTTCTGGGGATGTTTAGGTCAGGTAACTATTGTTGAAAGGTTATAGTCAGTTCTTGCCAGTAACTTTCCTATTTAACCAACGAGGGTCCTAGAGACTTCATTATGACAATTTGATGGACTCCTATGTTGCTCCTTGAAGGGTCTTATCCACATGGCTTCCAGAGGATTAGTAGCAGAAAAGGCATTTATTTTCATTCAATTTGTTCACTTATGACCAGAATAAAAATTCTTATTAGATAGCACAACTAAATTGAGTGTTAAAGCAGAAATGAGTAACTTTTGATTTTTGTAGGCACAGACACAGACTTTAATTCAGCCAGAAAGCTGGCGCATACTCAACTTTTTCTTTCTAATCCCTTGAATTTTAAATAACCACCAAGCCTCCTCTGACCTGCTTCCTAAATTGCTCTTTTTCTTCTCTCTTCCACTCCATCATCACTGCCACTGCCTTATTTTGAGCTCTCATTATCTTTTCTGGATTGTCATATTGGCCTTGTTGGTGATTTTGCCTTTCTGTTCACAGAAATCCAAATCAGCTTATATAGTACTGGCAGTGCTAATTTTCTAACATTCCTGTCAAATGACATTAACCATCCTGATTAAAATAACAGAAGCAACAAAAACAACAAACCAATAGTGACAACAACAACAAGCCAAGAAACAAATTCTGGTGGCTTCCTATCACTTGAAGGACAACGTCCAATTCTTTAGAGGACTTTCCAATAGATTCCCATCCTGGGCCCTGTCTATCTTGTTAGCTTCCTCTTCTGCCACACTCTCTCGTGCTTCCAGTGCACCAGCCAGATGAAACTATTTGCAGTTTTCTAAATCTATTACCATTTCCCACTCCTCTATGCCTTTATACAAAATGTCCTTCTTATCTACCTTGCAAATTCACCTCGGAATCACCATGCGGAGGAGAGCTGCCTGCCAACCAAGAACACCCTCTTTGGAATGTTATGTGGGCAAGAGATTAACTTCATTCTTATTTGAACCATTATATAGGCTTGAATAGTTTTGCCACTGCTGCCTATCCTGTCCTAACTAACTCAGGCACTTTATAACCATGAGACGCAGTTGTATGCATGATCATGTCACCGTCTTGTTAATTATCACTATCCCATGTGATCTTCTTGGTGAAGGAGAGTGCTGCAGTAGAGGAGATAGGATCTATGAGGTTTAAGTTTTCTGCTATAGCTTTATTAATATCTTCTGTCACAAGTCTGTGACAATCTTGATTTGTGTTTTTTAACTTATTATGAGTGTCAAGAGTTGCTGCTAGTTGAAACTGCTCCTGTTTATGAGTTAGAACAAGGAGCTTCTCTTAGAGGGCATATGGCTTGCCTGTTGGAGAGAGTGAAAGAATGAGGCAGCCCCTTTTGGCAGACTCTGGGTAGACTGATTAGGAAAAGCTCCCCCTCAATGGTGACACAGACAGTGTCACATGGTTTGACAGGCAGCAAATGGCCTAGATTTTAGCTTTCATAGCCCACTACTTAGAGTAGTGTAAAAATTTTACAATCATATCCAGTGATCCAGGAGTGCTCAGTGTGTAAGATGAGGGATTTTACAAAGAAGTGCAAAGATGAGGGACACATGGATTAAGACTTTGAGGTGATATTAATAAAAAATGATAACCCATAGGACAAATGTACAAGCCATAGAGCCTCCAAGGAGGGAAAGAGTACTGATAACCCAGAAAAGCTTTTATGTAGAAATGTGCATCTCTGCTGGACCTTTAAAATAGGTAAGACTTTGATATTTAGAAAGTAGAGAGCATGAGAACATTTCATCTCATCATAAGAGTGTAGGAAAAAAAATATCAAGATGCCAAAATGCACAGCTAATTATGTGGTTTATCTGGAACTTGAGGGTGGAGAAGATGAGAATGGATATATAGGTTGGAAACATCATAAAATTGTTTAATGCTATGATGGGTAGGTTAGAGATTATCGGGGGCAAGAACATCCACAGTGGGATTTTAATATAGATATTCTATACATTATATGAGAATGGTTTTGAAGGAAGTAGCCTGGAAGTCCAAAGCAAGTTAGGAAAGTTATTGGAATTACCTGGGCGAAGAAGGAGTAAAGAGAGTCTGAGTTAGGCCAGTGGTAGTGGGAAGAAAAAAAGGGAATGAATTTTGGAGGAAGACTTGAATACTTTCAGATGTGAGTGAGGTGAGAAAGGGAAGAACGAAGTAAGACTAAGATTTAGAGGCTTGGTGCCTTGAAGAAAGTGATATGCTTAACCAAGATTGGGTTGCCATGAAAAGGCACACATTTTTATAGAAGATTAGTTCAGTTTTGAACTCTTTGAGTTTGCTTGGATCCATATACACAGACAAGTTTTATATCTTATGTCAATCTTTAGGTTGTAAATAGCAAACACTTAAAAAGCTCTTACTGTATGCCAGGCACTACTCTAAGCACTTTAAACAGATTAACTCAATAAATATTCAAGCAACAATGAGGTAATTACTAACTAATATTGTTCTTGTTTTACAGATAGTTGACATGCTCAGAGTTACACAGTTAGGAAATGAGAGAGCAGGGATTTTAACTTTGGAAGCCTGACTCCCATACCCGTATTTTGAACTAGTATAATACGCTGCTTCTTATAAGCTCTTTTAGGGAAAGAAAACTTCAGAAACCAACAAAGGAAGTATAATGTAGATTTTGGCTTCTTAGGGATATTTCAAATAATTATCACTAATCCAAATTCTTCAAGTGCCTTTGTTTTTCCTTAGTTGATCATTAAGCATCTTTGGAAGCTTCCAGACTAATAAGGTACAATTTAATAGGTAGCAGTCTTTTTCAGATAGGAATATGATTTAGAAAATAATATACAGAAATTATGGGAATGGAGAAAAAGGTACGATCTG